AGAGAGACACAGTGCAAGAGAGGGAACACAAACAGGGGAAGTGGGAGAGGGAGAAGCAGGCTTCCTGTGGAGCAGGGAGCCCAATGCAGGGCTCGATCCCAGGACCCTGGGACCATGACTTGAGCCGAAGGCAGACGCCTAATGACTGAGCCACCCAGGCGCCCCAGGATAGTCTCAGTTTTGAGAGATCTTCTCTTTGGTCTGAGAGTTACATGATCTGCTGGTGGTTTGTTTAAACACTTATAGGTCTCTTGTGACAATTGCTAAGGTGCAACGCACTGTGTTTTGGGGAGGGAGGTAAGTTAGTGCCTGGCCTTCACTTCAAGAAATACACTGTTGGGGATGCACGTGATGTCCCTGGAAAGACCAGAGTTGTTGATAATTGCTGGGAAGTATCAACTCAGGTGAGTATGCATCAGTGTGGGATAGGGGGTATAGACTGACAGTGCCTCCAATGTGGCCTCCTGGCTAGGTGGTAAGCCTTAGGGATAGTTGAAGCTAGTCTCTGTTTTTGGAAAGACTACCTGAGGGTAATCATCCAATCTGTCCTGTTTGTCTATGTCACTAGCTTATGGGAGGACTGAGAATGGGAGTGAAGAAAATATTCAGAAGTGTTGACAGGTGTTGTCAGGGAATGTATAGGACCTGGAGTCACCCCTTGTTTCAATAGACTTTATAGTAAAGTTAAGGGGAACGGCTATTAAACTGTGGTCAGAGCTGTCTGACAGGGAATGACATACCCACTGTGTCATCTAAGATGCTTGCAACAGTTTGGGAGAGTTGCATCATGGCATTTTCCTTGCGGAGAAAGCTCCCAGGGGCAGTTCTGAAAGATAATGTATGATTGATGTTCCCATGCACTCCTCCCTATGTCCCAGGGTTTATGGTGTCCTTCCTTAGGTTTGCTGTCCCTTTGTCTCTACAAAATCAGTGTGTCCCTTCCAGCAGCTATAACCTCACCTCTTTCCTAATCATACCCTCTTCACTCCCACATCTTTTGTCTGAGGGTCAGGTGCACGAAGGACAAACACATCTTAATAAAACTTACAGAGAGATCCCTTATGTCCTCCAGTTGGGCCTGCATGGGAGGCTCAGTGAGCAATGTACTCAACCAAGTGTTCATTATCCTTATGATCTAGGACCATATCAATCCAACAAGAGAAGGCAGGCGGCTGAACCAGAATGAAATTTGAATCCTCTAGGCCCTCTTTTGGCCAGCCTGCACCTGGAAGGTGTACTAACCTAGATGGCCTAGTATTGCCATTAGGGGAAAGAATGAAACATCATGCCCAAGAATGGCCAGGGCAGACTTCTGAATTTTCAAAAGACTTCCGTGTCCCCTTCCACCCCTTCCATCCAGAACATGACCCAGGAATTGGCCCAGAGGATATTATCCCTTTCTGGAGAGAGCTGCATTTTTGCTCAGTGACCAAACTGCTTTACTAGGTTGACCAGGAAGAGGTGAGGGAGATAAAGTCAAAAATATTTTTTTAATTAAGCTTTTTATTTTTTGATAATTGTAGATGCACACACAGTTGTAAGAAATACAGAGAAATTTCACATACCATTTGCAGTTTTCCTCAATGGTAACATTTTGCAAAATTATAGCACAATATGCCATGGATACAGTCAGGTTACAGAACATACCCATCACTGCAGGATCCCTCAGGTTGCCTTTTAATAGTCATGCTCATTTCCCTTCCCACCCCAACCTCCCAATCATGAAGGTTAACCCCTGGCAGTCATGAAGCTGTTCCCCCTTTCTATAATTTTGTCATTGCAGAGGATGTTATAGAAATAAAGTCACAACATATATGTGAAAAACATCTAGTCTTTTACATTAAGTGTAATATTAGCTATAGGTTTTTTGTGGGACAAATTGTGGACATTCCCCTCTATTTCTCTTTTTCTGAACATTTTTTTTTTAAATTTTTTTTTTTTTTAAGATTTTATTTATTTATTTGAGACAGAGAGAATGAGAGAGACAGAGAGCACATGAGAGGGGGGAGGGTCAGAGGGAGGAGCAGACTCCCCGCCAAGCAGGGAGCCCGATGTGGGACTCGATCCCGGGACTCCAGGATCATGACCTGAGCCGAAGGCAGTCGCTTAACCAACTGAGCCACCCAGGCGCCCTTTCTGAACATTTTTATGGTACTGAATTTTGTGACATGTTTGTTCTGTATTGACTGATAGTCTGTGTGATTTTTCTTCTTTAGGCTGTTAATATTATGGATTACCCTGATTGAATATTAAACAAACCTTCCATCCTTGGGAAAAAGCCCACTTGGTCATGGTGTACAATTAGTTATTTTTATATATTGTTGCATTCTATTTGCTAATATTTTGTTAAAGATTTTTGTAACTATGTTTATGAGGGAAATTTGTCTGTTGTTTTCCAAGTCTGGGCCAATGAGACAAAAAGAAAACCCAGGGAACTCACCATCATGTCATTCCTTGGGTCCCTAGATTATTAGCTTGTCTACCTTCTTCTTGCAACATTTCACAGTCTTCCTATGCTTATATATACAAGCATACCTTGGAGATATTTCTGGTTCAGTTCCAGACCACTGCAATAAAGTGAATATTGCAATGAAGTGAGTCAAATGAATTTTTTGGTTTCCCAGTGCACATAAAAGTTATATTTACACTGTACTATAGTCTATTAAGTGTGCAATAACATTATGTCTAAAAAATGATGTACATACCTTAATTAAAAAGTTCTTTGTTGCTAAAAAATGCTATCATCTGAGCTTTCAGCAAGTCATAATCACTGATCACAGATCACCATAGCAAATATAATAATAACAAAAAAGTTTGAAATATTGTGAGAATGACCAAAATGTGACATGGAGACACAGAGTGAGCAAATGCTGTTTGAAAAAAAATGGCACCACTAGACTTGTTCCACACAGGGTTGCCACAACTTCAATTGGAAAAAAATACAATATCTGAGAAGCACAGCAAAGCAAAGCACAATAAAACAGAGTATTCCTGATATTAAGTCAGGATTTTTAGTTGTACTAGCAGGGGAAATAGGGAAAATTATGTCTACTCCACTTTCTTACAAGTAGAATTCCCCAGGAATCTTTTTTTTTTTTTTTAGTAGATTTTTGAGGAAACTGTTCCAGTGGTTAATAATATCAGATGCTCGTCAGTGGTAATGAGCGTGGAAGGTTGATCATATATACCTTGACCATCAGCCCACTGTTGAGTAGCTTTTTAGATAAAAGGTGCACCATGATCAGATTACAAATGCTCCAGAAAGCCAAACTCATGATTAATTACATTGGCCACCTCTCCTTTGTGGGCTTCCATGACTCCCAGAAGGATTGAATATTGATAATCTACTCACATATTTTTTTTACTTGGTGAACAGGATCCTAAATTTTTGGATGATCTGTGGAGGTGTGATTACATTGTAATCAGGGCTACCTTGACTAAGGTGTCTGATAGCCACTGTATCAGACAGACTCTAAGGTGGCCCCCCATGACCTTCACCTCCTGGCTTTTAGGAACTGCAGCTGCTAGCTGACATCCAGAAAGAAACTGGGAACTCAGCCCTATAACTGCAAAGAAATGAATGCTGCTAACAGCCTAAGGGAGCTCAGAAGCAGATTCTTTTCCAGTTGAACCTTCAGATGAGAATGCAGCCTGTCAGACATCTTGATTGCAACCTTGTGGGACTCTAAGCAGAAGATCCAATTAAAACCATGCCTGAGCTCCTGACCCTTAGAAACTGTGCAATAATAAATGTGTGGTATTTCAGGCTACTAAATTTGTGGTAATCTGTTATGTAGCAATAGGTAACAAATACAACAACCATGAGGACATCATCTGTGTAGTGAAAGCTTTGGACATCAGAAGGTAAAGGCATGCACTCAATAAATTCTGACCCATCCCCTCCTGGCAAATGGCAGGTAAGATCATGATGGTAAGTACCCATGATGAGGTACCACAAATGTAATTTGGAGACCTTGGTAGCATGCCAGAATAGGCTTCTCTCCATCTTGGTAGCCTCATCTGAAAATGGAGATAATTATAATATCGACTTCATAAGATGGTTGTAAGAATTATATAATAATGTGGGTAAAACGGTTTATTTGGTACAAGACCTGGAATATTTCATGGTGTGTGGCCCAAATGAGTGTTGCTCATGGCATCTTAATATTTTAGTGAAGTCACATTTCTACCATATCGTTACATTATAATTGCAATCGATTTGCAGACCACTCCTTCCCACCCCAGCTAATCAGCCAACCAGTCAACCCCTCAATGATTTCCCCAGGATCTAAGTCTCGTTTGGTGCAGTTCTGTCTAAATTCTCACAGAATAAAGCAATATTTCCCATTTTTCTACAACTACCAACACCCATCAAAAAATTCTAAGCCCACCAAGTCTTCCAAAGCACTCCTGTAACCAACACTGGGCTTCTCCGCAGAAACAGCCACCTCCCCGGTTAATAATGACTTCAATAAAGGATTCATTAATTTTTTCCCCCAGCAAAAGAATACTGTCCCCGAGAAACAGGATCTTGATTTTTATTATTTGCTCCCCAGAGAAAGCGGCAAGAGTGAAGTCCTCAGGCGTGACCTGAACGCCTTTTGGGGGCGTGGGCATCCCGGGGCCCCAGTCTCTTCCCCTCGGAAATGCGGGGGCTTTAAGCCAACTCTGGCGTGCCTTAATTTCATCCCAAGAACAGACTGCAATCATCGTGTTTAAACAAACCAGCCCAACGGCCTAAAAGCATGGGCATAACGGGGGCCAGGGCAGGGGTAAATCCTGGGTACGCAGGACCCCCTCTCGATCCCGGGCCCCTCCCGGGCCCGCTGCCGCTGCCGCTGCTGAGTGCCACATCAGCGCCCGCGCTGCACTTCCAGGTTCCTCTCGAGGATGGAGCGAGCTAGCCCGGCGGGCGGGGGCGGGCCGAAACCCTCGAGAGTGGCGGGCTGGCTGGCCAATAGGAGGCAAGCGAGGAGTCGCGGCCACCAATGAGCTGGAGCTCCGGGTAGTCGGCCCGCCGAGGTTCGTGCCCTGCGGGGGAACCAGATGAAGCACATCTGGACAGCTGCGCCGAGGAACTGTGTGGCCCCTTCGCGGGCCCGACGTCAGCTGGGCACGTCTCCCACGTTCTCTCCTGCTAGCCACTTATTATTCATATTCCCAAAGAAGCAACCGAGGATCCAAGCTTAAAACTTCCCCCCCCTCCCCGCTAATTGAGACGGGGCCAGATCCCATCCAGCACACAGTTTAATTTTCATGGGGCTCTGGGATCAAAAGAACAGAAACAGCAACAACAAAAGCCCAGCCGCTGTCTGATTTAAAACTGGCAAAGTGAGAAAAATAGTGTTGAGTAAACAGACCAAGTTGGGTAAGTTTTGGAGACGTGCTGGATATCTTATTTCTCCCGCTGTGATCTCTCTCCTGCGTCTTTTTGCTGTTCTCATTATCTGCTCTTCATCAGAGAGATGAAAATATCGCTTGCTGCCACAAACTGCACAGACCCCCGGCTTCCTTTCCTTCTGCTTTGCTAACAATTTAGTTTTTTGGTTACGTGTGTGTTATTTTAAAATTTCCTGGGAACAGAAATTTAACTGGCATCCCGTTGTAAGCCTCTCCAAACCTAAGAGTTGAATCTACTGATGAATTTATTTTCCTATTTTCTTTCTGTGGGAACAGAGTGTACATTTGTAAAGCTGAAATCTTTATCCATCCCCCCTTCCCTGAATGTTTGGATAGAATATTGAGAAAGTTATCAGACTTATTCTAAATTAATAGAACTTCTGCTTCTGTTAATAGGATGCTTAATATTAACTTACATTCTGAATTCTATAGGTAACTGCTGTTTCACTTAACATGTATTCACATGTTTGTAACCCAAATATATCTTCTCTATGTTCTCCTGTCCATAGTGGGAGATCAAATTCCTTTATGATTGTTAAAAAGCTCATTAAATATGTGACAGACAATTGTATGCATCAATGACCTTATAATTGTATGTTAATCCCATAATTCTATCAAAATAATATTTAGAGTGATAGTAGATGTGTATACTTGCAGATAATTGTGTCACATATTTCAGGACTTAGAAAGGGAAATGATGGCAAATACTGAGCTAGGTGAATGGCCTAAGGCCCATTCCATTCAAAATATCTATAATTTTGTTTAAGCAATGTTTTGGATTTGAGACTTTGTCATATATTATTTACTGTCATAGCAGATCTGGCCAGAATTGATGTGTAATTTCTGGCTCAGAAAGGAATAGGTGGGGGTTTGGTGCCATAATTGCAAGTTGCAGAGTGTTTTTGAATCAGAATGGTAGTGCGAACAGTGGATGGAACAGCTGAAGTGGTTTTCAGGGATGCAGGGTTAGAAGAACAGTGCTGCAGAGAAATAATAGAAAGAGCCCGTGGGATGGTTCAACTCACAACCCCACTGTTTGAACCTTGGATCAGTTAGTCAGACCATCTGTGCCTGATGGAGATTTTTTTTTTTTAAGATTTTATTTATTTATTTGACAGAGAGAGACACAGCGAGAGAGGGAACACAAGCAGGGGGAGTGGGAGAGGGAGAAGCAGGCTTCCCACGGAGCAGAGAGCCCGATGCGGGGCTCGATCCCAGGACCCTGGGATCATGACCTGAGCCGAAGGCAGACGCTTAACCATCTGAGCCACCCAGGCGCCCTGTAATGTGGAGATATTAATAGTACCTACCTCATGGGTTGTCTTGAGGACTAAGTGAGTTAACATAGGTTAAACAATAGTTCTGGCACATAGTACGTCTTTGCTGTTGTCCTCACTCTTTATTTCCTCCCTTCTCAGCTTCCTCCACTGCATGTCAGTTTCCCAGCCACCATTCGGACCTCTGAATTAGCAACTAGCATTTACTGAATGCTGACCTCTTGTTAATGATGCACTATATAAGTCTGTAAAGGAGAGAGAGTCTTGAGAGGAGAGTAGAATTTATCAGGTGCCAGAGAAAGAGCTAAAAGTTTCTGGGAGTGCAGAGAATGGAAGGAGGACTTCTTGTTGTAGGATGGATTCATAGAAGGGTTGGTTTTTTGGGAAAGGACTTTGCCGAACAGGTCAGGTTGAGAGGAAAGGGATCATGGAAGAGCGGGTGGCAGGGATTCTAGGAGAAAGGGAAAACATGGGCAAAGCACTGAGGCTGGAAAATGTGGATCTATCTTTGGGGACAATGGGTTGTGATGCAGGATAATCTGTGGGAGGTGCATGGGTGGAAGGGTTGAACAGGTAGGAGAGGTAGGAGAGAGGATGGTATGGAAAGCCTGGTGGGGAAGGGGAGGCTTGGGACATAGATGGGTGGGAGATGGTGGGCTGAAATGGCAGCAGTTATATGGTGGAGGTGTTTCTGGAACAATCTCTTTCTGGGGTCCAGGCTCCACCTCTTGCCCAGCATACGCTCCCTGGCTCTCCATCCACTCCACTACTTCTGTGACCTCCCTTCAGGGCCTGCAGGCTGTGTGGGTAGGACTGAGCGGTGAGCCTGGGCCATACCTTTTAGACTCTGTGATGTCTGTCTGGGAGCTCTGCTGAAGTGGTCTGGCATTCTGAGCTATTATCCCTCATACTTTTTAGAAATAGGCCTTCCCCTAAAGTCTTTGACATGGATGTGATTGTTCCAACTCTCCCTTCCTCCCATACACACAGTGTCTGCAGAGTAGCTCTTTCTCCCCATGCTGAGAGAATCATCTCTTCACACGTTAATACTTGTAACTTTGTAGTTCACAATTATGGAAGTAGATGAGACCTGTAATGTATATATAAGTGGAGAGTCAGGTTGGAGCTCTCCTGCTTTCTCTTCCTTGAGGGCATTGTGCTGGGGCAGAGAGAACCTGAATTCTGGCCCTGGCACTGCTGCTGACCACCTGTGTGACCGTGGGCAAGACAGGGAGCCATTATGCCCTTCTTTGTGCTGTCATCTGTAAAATTATCTCTAAGTTTCCTTGGATGATCTTTTTTTCTTCTGTCCTCATCTCTGGGACAGTCTGTTGCTTGCAGATGGCTCTTTGAGACACTATGGCTAACATTTCCTGACCACTTAATACATGGCAAACATTATTCTGAGTGTTTAGCATATTTTAGCTCATGTAATCCTCTTACCAACCTAGGTTTGGTACCTATTGCCGGAGGAGACAGAGACACAGGCATATTAAGAGACTGGCCCAAGGTCACACAGTGAACAAATGGCAGATGCACACCCAGTCTAACCCTAGAGCCCAAGCCTTAACCACTAGGCTACACTCTGCTCCTGCTTTTCATGATGATAGTCAAGAAGTCCATGGGAGCAGGATCATTGGAGGGGGAGGGCCCATTTGAAGAATCGAGATGGTAAAATTTTCCTGGAGGGTCCAGAATATTGACATGAGTCATGTCTATGGCATGTGCTGTGCGTGGAGGCAGAAGACATTTTATGTGTTTATTAGATGGGGCTCATTGCAGGCAAACACTCTGTCATTTCATCTTGTTTGAACAAAACCCACCATAATACCTGGATATATAGTAGACATTCAGTAAATATTAGCTGAATTATTATCCTTTTTGAACAACTGAAAGTGTTTAAGAGTTAGGAGCAATGGTTTCCCCTTTATTTACCTGCTTTCTTCTCATTCTACTACTCTGCCCAGAGGGAGCCTTTGTTACTGGTTTGGTCTATATCCTTTCAGTCCTTCTGTAAGGATCTACTCACAGGTATAGATCTAAATATAATGTGAAAATATAAATGGGACCACAATTTTTTAAATTGAAATATAATTCACACACAGTATTATATTAGTTTCAGTTGTAAAATAATTCAACAATTCTATACATTACTCAGTGCTAATCACAGTCAGTGTACTCTTAGTTCTCTTTATCTATTTCACCCCTCCCCCATTCACATCCCTTCAGGCAACCACCAATTTGTTTTCTGTATTTAAGAGTCTATTCTTGGGCGCCTGGGTGGCTCAGTCGGTTGAGTGACTGCCTTCGGCTCAGGTCATGATCCCGGAGTCCCGGGATCGAGTCCCGCATCGGGCTCCCTGCTTGGCGGGGAGTCTGCTTCTCCCTCTGACCCTCCCCCCTCTCATATGCTCTCTCTCTCTCATTCTCTCTGTCAAATAATAAATAAAATCTTTAAAAAAAAAAAAGAGTCTATTCTTTGTTGAAGATTATTTAACCATAGAGTTGAGGGTCCATATCTGGGCTCTTTATTCTGTTCCATTGGTCTATATGTCTGTTTTTGTGCCAGTACCATTCTGTCTTGGTGATCACTGCTTTGTAATATAGCTTGAAATCAAGCAATGTGATGCCCCCGGCTTTGTTTTTCTTTTTCAACATTTCCTTGCCATCCGGGGTCTTTTCTGATTCCATACAAATTTTAGGTTTGTTTGTTCCAGCACTTTGAAAAATGTCATTGGAATTTTTATCAGGATGGCGTTGAAGGTAGAGATTGCTCTGTGCAGCACAATGTTTATTATTCCGATCCATGAGCATGGAATGTTTTTTCATCTTTTTGTGTCTTCTTCAATTCTTTCATGAGTGTTCTGTAGTTCCTAGAGTATAGATCCTTTACCTCTTTGGTTAGGTTTATTCTGAGGTATCTTACGGTTTTTGGTGCTATTGTAAATGGAATCGATTCTCTAATTTCTCTTTTTACAGTTGCATTGTTAGTGTATAAGAAAGCAACTGATTTCTCTCATTATTTTGTATTCTGCCACATTACTGTATGAGTTCTAGTAATTTGGGGGTGGAGTCTTTTGGATTTTCCACATAAATTATCATGTCATCTGCAAAGAGAGAGAGTTTGACTTCTTCTTTGCCAGTTTGAATACATTTTATTTCTTTTTGTTGTCTGATTGCTGTTGCTAGGACTTCTAGTACTATGTTGAACAATAGTGGTGAGAGTGGGCATCCTTGTAGTGTTCCTGATCTTAAGGGAAAGGCTCTCATCTTTTCCCCATTGAGGATGATATTCAACAAAGCAGGAAAAAATACACAATGGAAAAAAGACAGTCTCTTCAATAAATGGTGCTGGGAAAATTGGACAGCTATATACAGAAGAATAAAATTTGACCATTCTCTAACACCATACACAAATATAAACTCAAAATGGATGAAAGACCTCAGTGTCAGACAGGAATCCATCAAAATCCTAGAGGAGTACATAGGCAATAAACTCTTCAACATCGGCCACAGCAACTTCTTTCAAGATACATCTCCAAAGGCAAGTGAAACAAAAGTGAAAATGAACTTTTGGGACTTCATCAAGATAAAGAGTTTCTGCACAGCAAAGGACACAGCCAACAAAACAAAGAGGCAACCCGCAGAATAGGAGAAGATATTTGCAAATGACACTACAAAGGGCTGATAT